CAATTACAGGTTTACACTGCCGATTTCCATGCCAGTCTCCTATAAAAAGTTCAACGCCATGCTTTTCTCTGGCGATTGCCATGCCTCAGTGCATGGACAGCTCATAGATTTGTGTGTGTGTGTGTGTGTGGGAGTGTCACTCACAAAATTTCAGGAGGCATCCACCCCCAACCCTGGTCACAAGCCATCACTGCCTCACAAAATTTCAGGAGGCACCCACCCCAACCCTGGTCACAAGCCATCACTGCCTCAACCCCATGACGAGATGCATCAACCCCATGACGAGACTATCTTTGTACAGGAATCTTCTCTTCCGTAGTTACTGACCACACGTATTGAAAGAGAGCTTATGGAGAACAGCACATGATGGAAGGTTCAGCCAGAGAGGTTTGTCATGCGCTGCTTTGAACTTCCAACACGACGTCAGGAGTACAAAAGCCTAAGTCTTTTGGATTGTAGTTAAAGGCCAATTGTTTTTTTTAGAGCTGGGAAGGATAAGCCGAGCAGGAGCCACCCAAGGCATTTCGCTGCCTGAAGCAAAGTGCAGGATGGCATGGTAGCAACCTTTTTCCATGCTACTTACAAAACCTGACTGGATTCCCAGTTCTATGGCAGAAGGAGGAATACCATCTTGTGCCAAACCTTGGGGGCATCTGGCCTGCTTAGAGTAGGGATTTGTAGTTCAGATGATGGGATTTGTAGTTCATCAACAGCTGTATTGAAAAAAAATGGTGTATTGAAAAAAAAACTTTATTTATTGTTTATTACCTGTATAACACCTTTCTTGAAAAGAGCTCCAGGTGGCCTGCGTGACTCCTTTGTTTTCCCACCTTATACCCACAACAGTCTTACGAGGTGGCTCAATCTGAGTCAGAGAGGGACTGGCTGAGTGAGTTCCATGGTTCAGACCGTACTGGATCCTGCTGGCTGATAAGATCTGAATTTAGGGCTGTGCAGTCAAGCCTGGCCAGCAGGGGGCAGCTGGGTAATTTTTCTTAGGCTCTCACAAAGCAAAAGACTCTCCTTTCTAGGTCTATCTTACAGAATTGGCAGTATGAAGCCCATAGTTTGCTTGTAACTCACAAAGCTATTTTGACAGCCTCGATTCCCTCCCCCTCAGAAAACAACAACAACAACAACAACCCTCATGAAGTCCACAGGTTTGGAAGCAACTATGCCACTGAAATTTGGAAGCAAACCAGGAAAGCTACTTAAAATAAGGCACAAATTTTGGTTCTAACAGGATTTTCCTGGTTGGCCACTGAAATTTGGTGGCACCCCATGAAAATCACTTTGAAATAACTATTTCTAACTTGAATTAATAGGTTTTCCCACCTGATTTCCCCCCAAATTTCAGCTTGTAAAAGGATGACACACAGAGGATAGCTCTGTGGCCAGTAATCAGGGTATCTGAAAATGTTTTAATATTTGTGTTCTTACTGTTGTTAGCGTTTAAATATTGACTTTTACTGATGTAAGCCGCCTTGGGTCCTTTAAAGACGAAAGGCGGGGTAAAAATATTTTAAATAAATAATAATAATAAAATACAGTTGCACTCCAGGGTGGTACTTAGGACTATCCTCACCCTGGCTGGACTTCATGCCAGTATTGGGGCTTTGAGCCAAAGCTGGAAGAGATTTGATTTACCGTGTTTCCCCGAAAATAAGACAGGGTCTTATATTAATTTTTGTTACAAAAAAACACATTAGGGCTTATTTTCAGGAGATGTTTTATTTTACAGTCATGTCATCTTCTAGTTGCTGCACAAGGGTGGAGGGTGGGGTTTCCCTTAACCTGGGCTTATTTTTGGGGTAGGACTTAGATTATGAGCATCCTGAAAAAACATACTAGGGCTTATTTTCAGGTTAGGTCTTATTTTCGGGGAAACAGGGTAGCATGACTTGGCTTTCCCCTGACCACGCCCTGTTTTTGGCCTGTATTCTTGCAGAACGTGGCCAGCAGAGCTAAGGGTGAGATCAGATGGCTGCAAACGGTATCGCACCAGAAAGGGTCACGTTAACGGGAGTGATCCCCCTTAAAGTGATTCTTCTGTCTGCTAGGGAATCACTCCAGTGTGGCCCCCAAATGTAGAGGCTATATTCAAAAAAAGTCCATCTTAGACATATAGATCCAGGTGAAGTTAGAGTGCTTCTCTCTGTGTAATGTGTGATGGCCAGGAAATAGAGCACATCAGACGGCAATTCTCTGAGTTTTACTCCCAAAACACAAATCTGCACACCTTTAGATGCTAGTCACCACTGCCGAACGTCATGCTGTTAAGGAATGGGAGAGGGAAACTGAGAAAGTTGTCTGATGTTGATGAAAAGGTTGGAGGCAGTACAGATGGGAGGAGATCTCCTTTAGGTCTCTTGCACCAACATTGCCATTTACCCCTTGACTTCCTCTACACCAACAGGTTTCGCCAACCCAAGTACCGCCATCTCTAACACCTCTCAAAGCAGTCTGCACAACGCGTTGCACATCTACATGAACGGCTCCATGTCTGAGGTGCAAGGATCAGCCAACGATCCTGTCTTCATCCTTCATCACGCCTTTGTGGACAGGTGGGTTTGAAGCTTCGTGGAAAAACCTGACTCCTTTCATGCCTTCAGTCAGGAATCCAGATTATTGGGTATTTTAGATGCTACTAAAGCTGGAATCTTTTCTGACATGCACACCAGACGTCTCTCATCGCTTTGTGTTTGACTGACAGCACTGCTTTGGTTCTTTGGTATTAGCATTTTTGCACACCGAGTGAGTTCCTCAGAATGCTAGTCGTGGAACCTCACAGCCTGAGTCTAAGACAGATCAAGCATGTTGAGAAAAAGTCCCCTTCCCTCCCCCCCACCCCTCGGCTGTCTGACAGAGACATAACTAAAAAAAATGGCAGTGGATGGGAGGGGGCACCTAGCATGGCCTCCCAACCATTCTGTCTGATGCATGAGCACAGACCCCCAGCAAGAAACAGGAGGTGGAAAATGTGGTATTCTTTCCAAAAGAAAAGCTTGTGCTTTTAAAAAGCAGGGGGAGAATGAATAAGAGCAGGAGGTGTTGTTTATTTTGCTGACATTCATCAGAATATGGTTCACCTCTAGATTTTGGTACCTTCCAGATTTTGGGAGCCTGGGACAAAGCCCTGTTTTTTCACATTATCCCCAAAGAGCCCTGTAGCACAATGGTTAAACTGCAGTAACGTGGTGGCGCTGCGGGCTAAACCGCAGAAGCCTGTGCTGCAGGGTCAGAAGACCAAGCAGTCATAAGATCGAATCCACGCGATGGAGTGAGCTCCCATCGCTTGTCCCAGCTCCTGCCAACCTAGCGGTTCGAAAGCATGCAAATGCAAGTAGATAAATAGGGACCATCTCGGTGGGAAGGTAACAGCGTTCCGTGTCTAAGTCACACTGGCCATGTGACCACGGAAGATTGTCTTCGGACAAAACGCTGGCTCTATGGCTTAGAAACGGGGATGAGCACCGCCCCCTAGAGGTGAACACGACTGGACAAAAATTGTCAAGGGGAACCTTTACCTTTTATCTAAACTGCAGAGAAGACTCCCTGGAAAAGACCCTGATGTCGGGAAAGTGTGAAGGCAAGAGGAGAAGGAGACGACAGAGGAGGAGATGGTTGGACAGTGTCATCGAAGCGACCAACATGAATTTGACCCAACTCTGGGAGGCAGTGAAAGACAGGAGGGTCTGGTGTGCTCTGGCCCATGGGGTCACAAAGAGTCGGACACGACTTAATGACTAAACAACAACAATGCAATTTAGCTTCTGCTTACAACCCGAGTTTGATGCTGAAGGGCTTAAGTAGCTAGGTCCAGGTTGACTCAGTTTTTCATCCTTCCAAAGTTGGTTATATGAGTACCCGACTCACTTTGGGGCAAAGTGTTGTTTGCATAATTGTGTTGTAAACCACCAGAGAGGGTTTTAGCACTATGGGATAGTATATAAGTCAAAACAGCAGCATACCTGTGCTTGTGTTCCCCCCCCCCCAAACACTGTAAGATGATGGATGAACTACAAGCATCTCTTCAAGGTCTATGGATCTGTTTATAAATTCAGACAGCAACTGCAGATAGCCTCAATCAGAGTTAGAATTGAGGAGCACAGGAAGGGGGATTTTGACTTGTTCCCTTCTTGTGCTCATGACAAAAACCGTCCCCATCACTACTTATCCACACACACCCCATTTTTGAAGGGGAATCCTCCAAAAGCATCCTGACCTGGAACTTAAACCCACTGAAACTCCACAGAAGAAATTTTGGCAGAAGCTGCAACCCTCCAACCAGGAAATCAAAATATAAAAGAACACTTAACACACCTCAGAAGCATACCCAGGTAATTAGTGGTTGAATCTTGGCATGGCCACCAGAATTAGTGAACCTGAGTTTCTCTTAAAAATGGTCTCCAGACCAGAAGGTCTCTTTAAATACTTCATTTTAAAAATAAAATAAAGAAAAGTGGGGGGAAAATGGAAATTATACCTGGCAAAGACAGAGGTTGAATGGTTACAAAGTAATAGGAAACAGTCACGAAATCAGAGAACAAGCTTCTGGAAAAATGAGTAAAATTATGCAAAAAGGAAAATGAACTCGAATCATTGGCAAAATGTTAACAAGCCATGAACTGAGCAAGACAACAGCACACTAGCAAAACAAGAAAGTTATCTGTCATGAGGGCTGAAATCTCCTCTTTCGCACCTCCCAATCTCATGAAAGCTTTGATCCTTCTGAGTTGCCTTTCGAAAAACTACCTGAGAGGGCATGGTTAGTCAGTCACCGGCTTAGGACTAGCTCATGTCCTTTCCTCCCTCACGGATGTTGCTCTTCATCCATGTTGTTCATTGGAGTTGTTCTCTCTCCTCTTTTCTTCCTCAAAGAGCTCTCTCAAGGCCTCCTTGAAGTCATTGTCATCATACTTCAGAGACTCCATGATGTGAATTCAAGAGACACAGATCTGGGCTACGAATCGAGAGGTGAATTTTTTTAACCATTCAGGTGTCAATTGTTTTCCCTCACTGTTGCTCTTCATCCATGTTGTTCATTGGAGTTGTTCTCTCTCCTCTTTTCTTCCTCAAAGAGCTCTCTCAAGGCCTCCTTGAAGTCATTGTCATCATACTTCAGAGACTCCATGATGTGAATTCAAGAGACACAGATCTGGGCTACGAATCGAGAGGTGAATTTTTTTAACCATTCAGGTGTCAATTGTTTTCCCTCTTGGCTATAGCACCAGCCTGCCCGACATTTGGCATGTCCCGACTAACGACTAACGTATCACAGAAGTCTTACTCCTGCAAGCCTGGAGTCTCTTTGATCTGTCGCTCTCCATTTCTGGTCATGTTGTTTTCACACGAGAACTCAATCTAAGTTAAGATGTTATCATTTATACAAGGAATCAAAATTATATCAAGGCATCATCTCCTTCAATTCTCCGCAGTATGTTGTTGCAGATATGTGCCATCCGGTCACATCTGACCTATGAAGACTTCAGGAATTAATGAGCTCCCAAAAGTCCTATTATTAACACCCTTATTCGTGCTGTGGTTTCTTTATTGAGCTAGTCCATCCAACTGCTGGATAGCTCCGTGATTTAAGTATCTGGCTGCAGAATGAGAAATTTGGAGTTTGTGTCCCCAGTGTGCCCCCTTGGCAAGAGCTGGACTCTGTGATCTTTAGGGTCCCTTCCAGCTTTCCAATTCTAAGATGATGATATCTCTTGTTCCCCTTTTCCTACTGCCTTTTGTTCTTCCCAGAATTGTTGTCATTTTCAGTGGGTCTTGTCTACTCATGACAATTCCAATATACAATAGCCTTAGGCTGTGACTACATAGGGAAAATGCAGGGACGTGGTGGCACTGTGGGTTAAACCGCAGAAGCCTCTGTGCTGCAGGGTCAGAAGACCAGCAGTCATAAGATCAAATCCACGTGATGGAGTGAGCTCCCGTCACTTTGTCCCAGTTCCTCACCAACCTAACAGTTCGAAAGCATGCAAAATGCAAAATGCGAGTAGATAAATAGGTACCACCTCGGTGGGAAGGTAATGGCGTTCCGTGTCTAGTCGCGCATGCTACGTGACCACGGAAACTGTCTATGGACAAACGCTGGCTCTACGGCTTAGAGGTGGGAATGAGAAAACATGATTTCTTTTTCTTGGTGCGTTCAAACCGTTCATGTTCACTGAGAAGGTCCCAATTTCATTCTCCATCTTGTTTACTTGTATTTAGGTTTTACTGACCTAGTGTTCCTTTTTTCTCTTTGTGTTTTGTTCAAATCTTGTTCAGTATCCTTTTCTGACTCTCTTCTTCACTTAGCTCACTCTCCTCTTCTAGTGTTTTCTCTCTTTTCTTTCTACTTTCTCCTTCATTTATATCTTGTCCCTGTGCTTCTTCTTCAAAGAAGGTTATATGTCTTTCAAGGAATTCTCTTGCTTTTTGGATAGAGTCAAGTCTGTGTCTTCTTGAGTTCCAATTGACCAGGATCCCTTCAGGTACCAGCCATCTGAAATTCACTCCTTTCCTAATCAATTTAGTGGTCAAAAATTGATATTGTTTCCTCCCCTCTCTGATTCTCCAAGGTATCTGTTTCAATACCACAATTTCCTTTTGTTGGTACTGTATTGGTTCTTCACTGGCCCTTCGCAGTATTTCATCTCTTGTTGATCTTTTCACAAACGAATGAGCACCACGCCCTAGAGTCAGACACAACTGGACTAAATATCAAGGGGAACCTTTACCTTTACATGGGGAAAATGTGGGAAATATTATGGGTTTAGGGTGGGTTGGTTCTAATTTTTTTTCCTGTTGATCACATTACTGAAAGAGAAATGTGAATCATCCAGAAGTCCCTCCCCTCTTCTCTGCTTCTGGAACTTCTCAGTTTTTTTTTTAAAAAAGAGACCCTTTTGCATTGATTTTGATGTGTGACCATTTGAACCAATGCAAAATGTAGATGAGCCACACATGTGAGCACACACAAAGTGGTGCTTTGCCAAAACAGCTACTCTCTTGCCTCACAGAGAAGGATGATCCACAAATGCGTCGTGTATACACACACACACACACACACACACACATACACACAAAGTGGTGCTTTGCCAAAACAGCTACTCTCTTGCCTCACAGAGAAGGATGATCCACAAATACGTCGTGTACACACACACACACACACACACAGAGAGAGAGAGAGAGAGAGAGAGAGAGAGAGAGAGACCAGTGCCAGCAAACGCTCACAGGAAGCAAAGTCTCTACATGAGCAAAACCTTTCTACCCCTTAAAAATGCTCATCCTCTGTGGGCCACCCTCTTGTTGTTACATTTTAAATAGCTTAAGAATGGAGGCCAAGGCTTCTCCCTTTCTGCAATACATATTTTTTATGATAACAAGACGAAATTGAAGGGATTTAGGGAGGAAAAGCCTTTTTTACACCTTGTTAACACAGTTCTTTGTAACAGTGCCACCTGCAGAGCTATAGAAAGAGAACTGCAAGTAAGGAACTAACAAGTGTTTTCCTCCTCTCTCCCTCTGTGGCCACTCAAGTCAAACAGACTCAAATTCCCCAGTGCAA